CAGTTAACACAAGCTTGAGTTGAAGAGAATTTTCCCATTTTAAGGGATTTGTTAGGCCCAGTAGAACTGGAGATATCGATTTTTTTTTTTTGAGAAATCAACAAATCAACATGGTGCTGAATGATTGCTCGCACAAAATGAGGCCACAAATTAGCATTCTGTCAAGTATGAAATGTTATGAATTCTAGAGCCTTTTTGTACAAATTTTCTTTGCTCTTAAGGTGGGGGTTATCCACCAGTGCAGGTAAACTGTTGGCTTGTTTTTTTTCGCCGTATGCAATAATCCGCCAGAGCAGGTAATTGTCTGTGCAGGTAAATGGCCGGAAATTGCGGTATCACATCGACCCTTTAGGGTGACAATTAATTAATTTCTCCTTGCAGTACCACCCCTGAATCAAACATTGCTGTTGTGGGAATAAAGGAAATGATCACTAACTGAGGAAACTCGTGATTGTTAAACATATTCTCCTTGTCAGCACCTTAAGAAATGTGTTGAGTAAAATATGGAGAATATGCATGCTGATATTAGGGTGTAAAGGGTTCATTGGTGGTTGTGAGGTTTTGCTCTTGTATGCTAAACTTCTTGGTAAAATTGAAGAACAGCTCCCAAAATATCTGTCGGCCAACTGTTCACCGACAGTTGGCTGACATAATGAAAACAAATTCAGAAACAAGTAAATAGACTGTCATCTTGGTAAGTTTGAACTTTTGCAATTTCCTCAGAGGTAAATTTTGAGTGGAGGCATTGTTGGCCATATCGATCTTCATTTATGTGAACTTGATGTGTAGTATTTGACTGATGCATTTCATTGCACTGAAATTGGAAGACTTTAGTTATTTAGATTTAGCAATAAGAGTAAATTTTTTCAAAGACTCACAAAATTGCACGAGCCCATGTTTTCGTAGTGTTTCTGTTGTGTTTTTGTTGTGTTTTCTGTGTTTTGTTCGTGAACAGTCGGCCGCCAGATATTTTGGGGAGCTGTTCTTCAATTTTACCAACTTCTTTGTGATGGTTAGTACACAGTTTTTATTAAGTAATTTATAAGTGAGAACAAAATCAGAGTGCTCTCTGAATTCTGATTGTCACAGCAACAATGAAACACGGCTATATTTGTTTTGGATAGGGTTTTAGCTCAAGTTTCTTGTGAAGTTGTTCAACCAAAGCCAAATAGACCCACAGAGGGCCAGCTATTTATCAGTGTGGAACTTTCATCAATGGCATCACCAGCTTTTGAGTCAGGAAGGTAAGTTAATCATTTCACCCCCAGGAATGATCACAATTAACAAAAAACAAGCGCGCGCGGGAAAATAGTCTTTGCATTTGCTCACGTCAGCAGCGTACACCCATGGGCAAATGGGGGACGCTAAATTGACCAATCAGAGCGCGCGCTTTACTTTGGTTATGTTATAAAGTAATTTCTCTTTACAAAATCAATGCAATACACAACACACAGAAAGATTATCACAATTGTTATAAAAATTATCAACGGACAAATTCAAATTGATTTTAATCAAATACAGACTAACTAACATTGTACATAATGTGTGATAGACAGTTAACTTTTATTATCTTCCCTAATTATCCCCGCTTACTTCCTTTTTTTAGAATGACAGAATTTGGTACTGAACTTAACCGATTTATGGAGAGGTGTTACGTTGAGTCACGAGCTATTGATGTAGAGTCTTTATGCATTGTTGCTGGCGAAAAGGTTTGAATAAATTAAACTGAATTATATTTTTATCTGGAACGTTCTCTGTTGTCAGTTTTACAAAGACCCTCTCTATTTTTAGCCCTTTGATTCCTTAGAATGACTAACATCTAATTTCTCCCCATAACATCACCCCTGAATCACTCATTAAGGTTACCAGAATAAACGTAATGATCCCCAACTGAACAAGCCACTTGATTGTTAAACAAATTCTCCTTGGTAGCATCTAAAGAAATATATAGAGAACAGTATGGGGAATATGCATACTGATGTAAGGGTGTGAATGGTGAAAGAATAATGTTTGATGAGTTCACTCACCACACTACTTGTGTATTTTTATTTAGGGTCTACTGTCACTTAAAATCACGCCCAATGAATCATGCGTTCTAGAGAAATGAATATTGAACTCAATTGTGTCATGAAAGCTCACTGATTACGTTTATTTTGGAATTATCATGATGAATATCAGCAAATATTTTATGCGATGTAGGTTTGGTCAATAAGAGTTGATGTGCATGTATTGGACAATGGTGGTAACATAGCTGATTGTGCAAGTATTGCTACTATTACAGCCTTGGCTCACTTTAGGTATGGTTTTTTTTAAAAACTTTAAAATGAATTGACTTTTTTTGTTAAAGAAAGATTTTTTTTTATTGTGCTTATGATGAAAAGTATTTATTTTATTGTTTATGTCAATAGTAACCTGAAAAAGAATTATAACAGTCTTGGTGGATCTAGGAGAGGGACCTGGGGGGCCCAGAACCCCCCCTTATTTTTGTTAAAAAAATATATGCAGAAGGAAGAAAAGCCGCCAGTTGACACACAAAAAAAAACTGCCCCCCCCATAGCTCAAAGTCTGGATCTGTTACTGAACAGTAAAGTATTCAAAATACTCTCAGTGATTTTCAAATGATAGCTTGATTCTTCAATTGATAGTGCTCCAAATAGAGAGACAAATGATTAAAAACTAATTTATTAGCTAATTCTTGGCAAAAAGTTTCCTCTAAAGCAAAGAATCATTTGCCATGTACACAGAAATCAAAGCCTTGACCAGTCTTCAATGCTCAAAGAATCAATTGAAATTTGTTTTAGTTTCAACCAAAGAAATTAACAAAAAATCACCTGAAAATACTACATATTTCTCCCTCTCTGTCTTTAACAAAGCCAAATGTAGCTTTGGCCAGACCTAAAGATATATACTATTTTTTTAGGCGACCAGATGTGTCTGTTATTGGTGAAGATGTCACAATTGTAAGTGTAAAATTGAGGCATGTCACAATTTTTTTTTATGGCCAATACTCACGACAAGAGCATTTGAAAGGATATAAGGCTGATAATAGACTAGTGTATCACCTGGCCATCATTTTTAATCTCCAGAGTGACTTCTATCTGGATATGATGTTACTGCTAAGCTAGATGTACCTTAATTTCTGGCCGTTTACCCATGGGTAATCTGTTGATTTTGCCTTAAACACATGCCACTGCGGGTAATAGGGAGGTGCGGGTTATGTGACAATTTTGAAATCTACTGGCAGTTGAATTGAAAAAAATTCTCACCTGCCTGCGTTTCTACCTCAGATGAATTTTATTGTATTAAAAGTGCCATTGTAGCATAATGCTGTAGAAAACTTAGTAAACATGGAGTATTTATAGGCCTTGGGAGTACTGTGTAACTTTTATTTTTTAAACTAAAGTAAAATATCTCCACAAAAGTGGCCAACCTCAGGCCTTATAGGGATAGTGACATACTCTGTTTGTGTCATTTCATCAGCACTCCCCAGAGGACCGTGATCCAGTCCCACTAAGTATCCTTCACATGCCAGTCTGTATAACATTTGGCTTTTTTGATGAAGGGTAAGCTGATATTTCATGTTTTCAAGCATTTCTGTGTGTGATAATGATATGCAGCATTTCTTTGACAATATGATAGTAACATTCAGGCAAACCTGCGTTAAATAACCATTCAGACTATCAGACATATGGTATGACTCTAGCAAAACAAATACCTTGGGTGGCCTTCTAACTAAATGGTCACAACTTTGTCAGCTTCGAGTTTCAGAGAAGCATCTTCTTATTCTTCCAAAACAAGGTATGAACCTTTAAATAAAAAAAAAATTCCAGAAGCATGTGTCGCTATGATAGCTATTTTAAGGAAATCAGCATTTCTGAAATAATGCTGCAAATTTAAAAAGAGAAAAAAAAACTATGCAAACATTTTTCCAACTAACTGTTCAATTATTTTTCCTAGACAACTGTTGCTTGTAGATCCAACAGATAAAGAGGAAGTTGTAATGAATGGGAGAATGATCATGGCAATGAATATTCACCGTGAAATCTGTGGTGCAGTGATGGGCGGTGGGGTCTCGTTAGAATCTGAACAGGTGCCTTTTTGCCTTTTTGAACTGGTGCCTTTTGTCTGATATCAGTATTCTCCAGAGGTGCAGACAGCAGGCGTTTTTGCTAGTTGCTCATTTCTGAAGCAATGCCTTTTTCAATTAGATAGGTGCCTGTCTAGATCTGAAGTAAACTTAACCTAAGTTAATTTTTCCATCTGACTGGCTACTAAAAAAGATCTGGAGAACACTGCTGGTATCATTCTTTCTAAAATCTTTCAGAATATTGTATGATCTGCCAAAGGATTTTAGGAAGGGTTTCATGGATTCCCACCCAAAGTCATTGTCCTAAAAATTCTTTCAATTTCTTTCAAAATGCTTTAAAGAATTTTTTTCTCCAGAGAAATCTTAAGGTTCTGGTAGTAATCCTCAGAAATACCTGAGATCCTAGTTCTTTGTCCCATGCTCACGACAAGACAAATAACATCTTACTCTATTTCTTTACTGAGCTCAAAACTTGCCATCTTTCTTGTTCTTTACCTTTTCTATTTTTTATTTCTTATCTGAAATCTCAAATAATTGTCATAGTATAATTTAACATTAACTTTGACTCATCACTTTCACTTGTTACCTCAAATGAAAGATTCAGAAGAGAGATCAAAAAATTCAGGACAATTTTGTACTAAAAATTTTGCATTGTGAATGATAGAATATGATTTGAACATGATGCCTTTTTAGATCCTGAGATGTTCCATGATTGCATCAGTAAAGGTCACTGAAATTGTTGCTCTTATACAAGAAGCATTGGAGGAGGATTCTAAGCAAAGGCAAGTGTGCTAATGGTAGTGATATTAGAATAAGTTCTGGAGCTAAGTGTTCGGTCAGAAACTGGTGCCCAGTGAAACCTTGTCACTTCTAAGAGTGACTGGGATCTTACGAGGAAAGCTTATAAATCACAAGCCAAAGGTGAGTGATTTATAAGCTTTCTGAGTGTTCTCCCAACGTCCCAAATGGCTTTATCACGTTATAGAGCCCCCAAAAATGTGATCTATTGCTTAAATAAGAGCATATTTCAATGGAGTATTTTAAAAACAAAACCACAATTACTACTGACAAAAGCCATGCTTAACAAGGTAAAAAGTCAGCAAAGAACCGCTGAGAAGTCAAGATAAAAATACCTAAGGTAACCCATTTAACAATTTTGAGGGTGGAAGTTTGAGTGACCATGTTGTGATTTGTGTAAGTTTTTGTACTACGGTATGTTATTTTTTTGTTTTGTTTTTGTTTTTGTTTTTGTTTTTTAACCAGAGCTCTTGGAAAAACGGGATTATTGGAATCAGATACGACACCATCTATTATTACCGTGACGTCAGCCGATGAGTCTGAGGTGGATATTAGTGAGGCTGTGGAAAAAGTGACAGGTAAAAATTGGGGACTTACCCAATAGGGGAGTAGGTGTAATGTAGTGACAAGACTGCTTGTGTGCCACAACTGTGGTGCTGGCTCAACTCTCATTTCCTATCCCTGCTCAAAAATTGAGGGGTTTTCCTTCTGCCACAAAAAATCACAAATCTACCAAACCTATTTTTCCTAGAAGAATAAACACAAAAAGTGTAAGACTGAAAGAAAGGCAAAGAAATCAAAAGCACCATGATTGCTATTGGACAGGGATAAACTAGAATTGTTGTCGAGTAGATATGGATGCATAGTAGCCCGTGGGAGGATGAGGTAGATGGCAGAAGTTAAGCTGTAGAAAGAGAAAAATAAAATAGAATAAGCTTGACCTAGGATAATAATGATAATAATGATAATAATCTTTATTTTAAGAGGGTGACACAAATTACTTTTGAAAGTATTCTCCCTAGTGGCCCTCTAAAACACCCACCCATCCCACCTATCCCACCCATCCCACCTATCCCACCCATCCCGCGCCAGGGAAGGACATCCATCACACAGTAATCTCGTGTGTGGGAAATTAACTTCTCCTATCCCAACCCTGCAGGAGACGGGACCTCCATTTATTGGTCCCTATCCGAGAAGACTAGAATATCTAACCATTTCTTGATGTTACAGAAAGGTAGCAAATTCTTCTCAATTATTTTAAGACCTTGAGTGTTGGTCCGGCCGGGGCTCGAACCCTCGACCTCCCGCACAACAGTCCAGCGCTCTATCCATTGAGCTAACCGGGGAGGACTTGAGAACGAGAACGAGATTAAGAAGTAATGCATTATTTTACTATTTGCCTCACAGAAAGACAGTATAAGGAGACGACAACCATTGAAGAAAAGTATCCTTTGCAAATTATAAGTCATTCGTAAATTATTCTTGCTGTATAAATTCATTCCATTTTTTGGTCTTTGTAGTCGTTGTAACCTTTTTTTTTTTTTAGTAATAATGATTTAATTGCCAATGTGTGATTCGTCTAAGACATCTCTAGTATTTCTTAGTTTCATTAAGAAAAAGTATAAAATACAGAGAACTTTCTAAAAGAGCCTCTAGACTCCTTGACAATAATAATCTTGCAGTGCGTGGGGAGCACAGTTAAAGGTAATCTTTTAAATGCGCAATTCTCAATTGTTTGTCGAAAACAATCTGGGATTTCATTGGTTTTGTTCTACTTCGTTATGTGATCATCGGTCCAGAAATTTTCACCATCTTTTTTAACCAATTGAGTTCAAACTAAAACCAAACGCGACTGCGTTTTTCCGCCTTATAAGCAGTTCGCTCGTTTTTCCTCTGCGGTCTCATTAGCTTTTGGTGATGATTTCCAGCGCTCCAAATCCCAATTTGATCTTCCAACAATGAACGAAAAGCCGCCCCTTTTTATAGAGCGCATTTCGATAGACGGTCGTAAAAGCAAACGCAAAGTAATTACAGGAGCAAATCAAATGATATGAAAAGCTCACAAGGAGCCGCCAATGAGAACGCAGAGTAAAAACTAGCAAAATGGTTAAAGCCCGGGAAACGCAGGTGACCAAGCCGCGATAGTTTTTACTTTTGAATCTGATTGGTTGCCAGGATGAGGCGAGTTTTCTGAGCCAGTCACAGAGGGAAATACGACGGGGTAATCCCGGAATATTTTCGACCCTCAAGTGAAAATTTTCCTCTGTATCACTGCTTAAATATCCCACCTATTTATCTGCGAATTTGTTTGTTAGTTGGTTGGTTTACATTTTTTCGAATTGTTTGCTTCTGACAGGGACCGGGTACTGCTCAAATTGGCGAAGGAGGAGTCGATTCTTGGATTGTTTTAGATGAAACCGATGAAGAAATGGAAGAAAGTGAAATAATTAGCGAGGAAAGAAATAATGAGTCTCCGACACCAGTATCACAGCAGAAGAATGGCGGCAAAGGTGAGGGGAAAAGACGTGGAACTTTATACTTCGAAAGCGAGCGTGTCCAAGTTTCTGATTTTCCTAAGGCTTTTGCGAAGACCAGATCTGATTGGTTCACCCCGGTGAACCAATCAGATCTCGAAATAGAAATGTAACGTATCTTTCTCACAAGTGCAGGAGTGAGACGACCAATGCCACAGGCTGAAAATCATGTAATCGTTGGCAAGCGCGGGAAAATATACTCCTGGTTCCAAGCGCGTAGAAAACATGCAAGCAGTACTAAGCGCTGGAGGATATGCAAGTACTAGTGGTGCCAAGAACGGGGAAGTTTGTCACTGGTCCAGCTGCGAGGCAACCGGTGCAAAGTGTTGGAAAATATGTCACCAGTGCTAAACACACCGGAAAAACATGCAACTAGTACGAAGCGTAATGAGACATGCAACCGCTGCCAAACGCGAGAAAATATGCCACTTCCAAGCGCATCTAAATAGCGTTCGAGCTCGTAAAAAGAACCAGGCGAAATTTGAACCGAGCAAAGCCCCACACAGAATATACTTTGAACGATCTTTAGAGCTACTGACTTCGTTTTGTGTTTGTTGCAGTCGTTCACTTCATCGGGGGAAGTGATGACAGCGAGGAGGAGGACGTTGTGATACTGACTGCCGAAAGAAGTGATGTGGTTCAGAAGAGGTATGTTTGGAGTCGAACAGAAAAGTTTGTGGAAAGGCAAAGTTATAAAATTCTTTGTGAATTCTACTATTCTTTTCTTCTATAGCTCCCAGCCTACAAGTACCCTGGACACCTTAGATTTGAGTAGGGCGTTGAAAAGTGACAGCGAAAAGATCAGTAACAGCAAAAAGAAAAAGAAGAAAAAGAAATCTGGAAACAGAATATCGCAAACATCTTAGTGATTTTAAGCATAATCAGTATATGTAAATAGCTATTAGACCTTTTCTAAACAAATAAATATCACACATAGTCTGTATAAACCGGCTTCCTGTCGTAACTGACGAATGGACTCCCACCGACCTGTCTCTTTCGAGGGGCGTTGCCAGCTGTGGGGGAGGGGTCGAGTATGCATATCACCACTTCTTCGTTGAGAACAAAGTAATGAGGTAATAAAAATACAACCTGTCGTTACTCTAAATCCAAGTGAGACGTATTAAGTGTTATTTTCTGATTATTTAAGCTAATCGCTTCCATAACACTTGAATTTGAGGTTGAAGTGGTCACTTGATTTTAGTGTTGAGCCTTCTGTTTCCTCGAATCTGTAACTTTTGTTTGTTATGAGTTTGAAGACTTTACTACGGCGTCATTTACAGCGAAATTGTATATTCAATTTTATTTATGTTTTTAAGCCTTTATATCAGAGATTGGGCTTAAGCCTTTTGTCAGGAAAGGATTTTTTTATCAGTGTTATCACCCTAGCTCAGTTGAATCCATGCTTGATACTGCGTACTTCAATATAACATGTAACTCACTCTTCCAGCGAGCTTAGGGTCTTGTGGAGTTTTAAGCCTGAAAGGTATTTTAAGTCTGACCAGTGACGATCGACTTTAGAGATGAGTCTCGCAGCCAATAAACATTTCGAGAACATCGACTAATCATTTACCTTATCTAATTTAAACGTTTAGCTACGCGATAGACAATACTGAAACGTCATAAACTCCTCCGCCACGTCATAAATACAAACGATTTGTTTTGCTTGCGTGGTAACGGCAGAGAGTGCATGCAGGCGCGCGCGTCAGAAACTATGTAGATGACATCGAAGAATTCTCGTCATCGAGATGTCTTGCAGTACTAAAACTCGAGTGAAAGTCCTCAAGCCTGGTGATTTGGAAGGTGCGCGGAGCCCTGCGAACAAAAATTCGGAATATGCCGGTGAGGGAAAGGCCGAGAATGGAAGAGGGTATTTTGTCTTGTCACGACTATTTAACTGCGGAACGAAATCTAAAAAGACGCGTGTAATCGAAGTGAGATCAAGTAGTCCGGCTGTGTCGTAGAGCATGGATGGAGTACACTGTGGTCCAGATTAGTACATGCGATGATTTAGCATTTATGAGGAGACGAATAATGGTTTTAAATCGCAAGGACAAGAATCTTTTGGACGTAAAAATGGTCCAGCGTTTTTTGGAGGAGTTCTTTCTGGTAGACAGCGCACAAGAAGAAAGAGTTCGATTACTGTAGGAAACGCCCCAACGTATTCTGCACGAGAGAAAAACTTATTCTTAACAGTCGATTAGTTAATTATTTAGCCTGTCCTTGTGCGAAATGTGTTCTCTGGAAGAGCAAATTAAAGGATAGTTCCTCTCGAGTCTGCCCAGAGAAAGTCATAACATACTTTCAAACAAATTTTGCTCGTTCCGTGGTTGTTTATTTTAAGACCAAAATCAACTGCATTGTTATAGCATCCATCTCATTTAGTTTCTTGAACGTTAAAAACACGCAATTCTGTCCTCCTAAAAACATTTGGGATGGCTTGGAAAACATGCATGTAACCATGTGTAAAATTGTCGTAATATTATTAATCTGTCTCGCAAAGCAGTCATCATAAAAATATCAATTATACTGCCAGCTTAGGTAAATATAACTGCCAATACTAAAAATATTTCCTTCTATAAACAACAGAAACAATCTAAATTTTTACAATTCTAAAACCGATTTGTCAGTTTTCGTGGTTTAATCCCAGCGTAATCGCTAAAGTATCACGAATAAACAACTGATGAAACACAAATAACTCGGCCTCCATCGAATAGCTCTGCTGCTTGCAAATTATTCCTCGGCTTCGATTGCCATCTGACTTGTACTAGGAACTACAAAGTCTCCCTTTCTAAAAACTTTCATCTCCTCTTCATATCGCTCTCTATCCTCCCTTGCCATTTTTTCGAACTTTTCCTTCTCTTTTTCCTCCATCTTAGCCCACATTTCACCCAGCATCTTCGCCGAAAGTGTCATTTCGGGATTTTCTTCTCTCATAGCAGTGCGTTTTTCTTGGCAGAAAAACATAAAGGAAGACCTAGGATTAAAAACATAATTAATTTAGGTTTGGCTTTAGATGGGTTTCGAAGAGAGAAGGTGTGATTAAAAATAAACTATTTCAAAAGAAACGGGCACAAATGACTTTCTTTCAGTTAACTGTCATCTAAAAAAATGGACTACACGCACATATCTAAACCAAAATGGCACTTTTAGTTGAGCTTGAATGTTCTCAATTATCTTAAGTCATCAATAGCGCATAAATATCTGGCCATAAATCCGATTTGATGCAAGAAATCATATCGTAGCTCAGATGAACTTAACAAGCTCGAGAGAGTGCAGAACGCTGCACAAGTCCAAACTGAGTTTTTACCACAAACTTGTTCCAAAAGTTTAAGACTTGACCACAGTTAATTTTCTCTGTATAGTAAATTTAAGTTACTTTAGAGACACAGCTGAAACGAAAGCCTGTGTTGGTTCGACAAGAAATTAATAACTCTTATTCAAGTTTAAGACTTACATCCATTTCTTGGGTTGATTTGGGTCCTTTATCTTCTTTTGCTTTCGAGTTTTCCTCTCACTACCTTCGTATTTCGGCGGTGGTGTGTAGTTAGCCATTTCGTTGTTATACCTTATCTTGTCCTTCTCTGCGGCCTCCACGAAACGTTGCTTCTCCCCTTCCGTTAACTTCTTCCACTTTTCTGCACAGGCTGGGATAAACGCTTGCCGAACTATTTTAGCCTCATTTGTCTCAAAACTGTCGCCTGCAGCTTCGTTTTGTGATTTCTTCATTGCCTCAGTTTCTTCCTTGACAAAAATATTGTAGGCACTCATTTTCCCTCGAGGCTTGTTTGGGTCTCTGCGTTTCGACATTTCGGAGAGTTCGTTTGAAGGATTTGTCGACTATTCACAGTGTTACAGGTCTTTAAATAGATAGTTTGTAGTTGAACAACCTAAAGAAAGACCGCATAAGCAAAAACTAAAAAAGCGCCAACCTTCAGAGGCCAACATAAAACAACCTCTGCCAAGCCGTTGAACGTTACTGATTGGTTCACTTTTCCCGCTGTTTGTTTGCTGTCATACTTGTGCAATTCGTAGCTTCTGCCGGGAACCACAGGTATCCCAGGTGTTGGAAATGATCGTGGAACACCAACTATAAAAATCTGGTTTAAAACATCCTACAATCAAAACTTATCGTAGGTGAAATATGTGATCAGTCAGGAGCCCAGGGTGATGGGCTCCTGGATCAGTATAATCATGACTACTAAGCCCTTGAGAAGACGCCTATGGCACACAAGAATGAACAAAAAGGGCTTTCCCATCTGGTTGACATTTAGTCTCCGTCAAAAGGTTTTCTAAAATTGGAAATGGTATTCGTCCGTGACATTTATAGGCGAGCGAGTTAATTAATAACGAGATACAATGAATATATGAAGATCATATATTTTGAACTGCGGTATTAGATACGTATGATGCACGATCCTCGCAGTAGATAGCGCTATTTAAGCAATAGCGAAAATCAGACCTGAAAAAAATCAGGCCTGTACGGGACTCGAACCACTGACCTCTGCGATACTAGTGCAGCGCTCTACCAATTGAGCTAACAAGCCAACTGGGAGCAGGCCGTTAAGTTGATTCGTAATAAACCCGTGAAAGTGATAAATGAGATACAATGAATATATGAAGATCATATATTCATATATTCATTGTATCTCATTTATCACTTTCACGGGTTTATTACGAATCAACTTAACGGCCTGCTCCCAGTTGGCTTGTTAGCTCAATTGGTAGAGCGCTGCACTAGTATCGCAGAGGTCAGTGGTTCGAGTCCCGTACAGGCCTGATTTTTTTCAGGTCTGATTTTCGCTATTGCTTAAATAGCGCTATCTACTGCGAGGATCGTGCATCATATGTATCTAATACCGCAGTACAAAATATATGAACTTCATATATTTCATTGTATCTCATTTATCACTTTCACGGGTTTATTACGAATCAACTTAACGGCCTGCTCCCAGTTGGCTTGTTAGCTCAATTGGTAGAGCGCTGCACTAGTATCGCAGAGGTCAGTGGTTCGAGTCCCGTACAGGCCTGATTTTTTTCAGGTCTGATTTTCGCTATTGCTTAAATAGCGCTGTCTACTGCGAGGATCGTGCATCATACGTATTAATTGATAACGTTTGAAACTCACTTCCCCCCACCCCACCCCTCCTGGAAAACTGCAAAAATTAGGGCCCGAAAATGTTGTCTGTGGGGCAATATTCTCCAGTACAAAGTACATGTGAGCCTAACAAACAATCTGATCAGATGCGAAGAGGGATAAGCGTGTTGACCAGACAAATATTACTCCATGAATGAACAATACTTGTGATATTGCGTGACGGTCAAAAAGGCGCTTTGAAAAATTGAGCTCAAAACTGACTCAAGTTGGCATTTTTTCATTGTTCAACCATGTGACATGACGTCAGTCGCATGTGTACAACAAACAGGAAAGGAGCGATTTTCAAGATCGGCGGTAAGGTAATGTGTGTCGGGGATTGGCAGTAATGAACGGCTATCGCAGCGAACAGGAAGAACAAAGCTCTACTGTCGGGCAGATTTGCTGCCTTGTCGAAGACAACGACCGCTGTAAGCGACCAATTAGCAACGCAAGCTATTCTAAGCGAATTCAGAAGACAGTTTCTCAGAGAAAACTGAAGTTGTCTTTGGACGTGAACGTAAGCGAAATTTTTCCGACTGAATCCTTTCGCAGATCCGATGTTGCTGACCAGACTGTAAGCTTTTGTTTGATAGCGCAGGGACAATTCGAAGTGAATTTGTTTTAAACTGGTTTTATTTCAGGCAAGACACATCTATATCTGCGAGCATCACAAAAATATGATTCAGAGCGTTCGCAGCAAGAGAAAACGTAAAGATTCCGACGATGAAGCGGACACAGCTGAAGTAAGGAGGACAACTTTGTGTTTAACTTTTAAGTCATTGGAGTAATTTACCCGGCTTTCTCACAGTTTTCTTTACCTTCGTGTTCAGGCTTGTTGGTTACGTGCATTATGTTCTTGGGACACATCTTGACGTGCTCTCTTTTATTTCTCACAGGTCGATTTCTGTCAACTGCAGGTGAACACTCTAAGAAGATATAAACGACATTACAAACTACAAACTCGACCAGGATTGAACAAATCACAGCTTGTTGAGGTAAGGATTGCGTAATTGAAAAGATCTCAATCGTGTCGGTTCGAAGTTGAGTTTAGGTTGCAAAACACTTATCCGGTATCATCGATGCAAATGTCGTTAGTCAACTTGTTGTTGCGATAAAAGTGAATCGATGTGAGCTAACAAATTCAAATTTTTTTATCTTTTGAGTAACTCTTCCCAATTTGGCCCAGTTTGGATATTTAAAGCCGTTTCTTTTTCTTAGAAAGTACGAATTCTATAGAAAACTCGTGTTGTATGTGGATTTCTACCCTCCCCCCATAAAAAATGTATTCTTGTTGACCGGTAACCCTGTGGGGGAGGGACAGGGGCCGAATAGAGTGCAGTAGGTTGGAAACTGAACTTTGTCCTTTACATGAGCCTCAAAGATTAAGTCCAACTTTTAGTGCTCATCTAAACGTTTTCTTAAAATTCAAATTTTTTTTTAGAAGAAATGAAATCAGACAGAGTGGACATGTCGGTGATTTCTACAAAAACCAAAAAAAAATTGATAAAATCTTGAACAAAATTTGAAATTATAAGACATACAAACCCCAGGACTCAGTTGTTTGAGGGCCGATTAGCGCTAACCCAGGGTTTAATTGTAATCCAGATTCCATACTTCTGTGTTCAAAAGCTCTTTTGGGATAATTTTACCAATTCTTTTTATGGCATTCATTCATCAAATTGTAGACAAATGGAATTAAACTGTATTTTCTTTGAAAGCTTTCAGATCTGAAATCCATTTTCACACTAACCCTGGGTTGTCTTAACTTAACCCACCATTGAACAACCCGGCCCAGAGATGTCACCCAGTTATTGCAAATACAGGGTGTCAAGTTCCTATTTTTTCCTATTTTTTGGCCTGCCTCCTATTTTCTCCTATTTTTTCATGAAATTCCTAGTTTTTCCTATTTTTGGGGGGTTTTACTAGATACACAGAAACATTTTGAAATATTTGAAATAGAATCGCAAATAAAATCGATAAATTCTACAAATAACTGAAACTTCATGTTAAAAAAGACCAGTTTTGAAGCCTTTATGAGTGATTTTCTTCTGAAACTAGTGCCCAGACTTTCTCAGTGCTTTTGATAACATGCAAGGGATTCTGGGAGGTTCATTTGCATGTATGTGCATTTGCCATGTTGAAGTGGGGCTGCAATGCATTGTGGATGTATGTGATGGTGCCTGTTAAATATTAAAGTGTTGGGTTGTGGAACAGAGTTTCTGTTGGGAGTGTTAAGAGGATAGAACTCAAAGAAATTCTCCTATTTTTTAGGTGAGAATTCCCATTTATTTCCTATTTTTTGGCCACTGTCATTCCTATTTTCCTATTTTCTAAGTGTCATTTGTCACTTGACACCCTTCAAATATCACTGTTTCTTTTTTTGGCTTTTGTTTCATGATTTATGAAGTCCCAAATTTTTGTGTTATATAGAAGGGAAAGAGTAATGTGATGTATATCAGTTTATTATCTATTCTGGTTTTCATTTTCTTTTTGATTTACAAGATAATTTTAGTGATATGTTGAATTAGCATTATTTAATATTTTTCACTGTGCTTTTGAGGAGTCTACATGAAAGATCTAGGTCTTCCCTAATTTACCTTTAAAAATATAACCTAAATATTTTTTTACTCTCCACTTTCAATTCACATCAAAACCTTCCCCATGCTGAGCCATCTTTTTCCTTCCTTGATGTTGTCTTAACCTCAAGTTATTTTGATTTCTTCTTCAACGAAATATTTTTTGAAGGAGCACCTCTTTCTGTGATGAAATTTTGATAGTTTAACAAAGATTGCTTTTAACATGTCTTACATGAGGCTTTACATTTTCTGTTTCAAGAGCATCCAGAGACACTTTAAACAGATTCCATGCCCTGAAAAGGAGACAGTCACTTATTTTATCTACATGATTAAAACTCACAAGAGCAAGTTGGACCAAAAACCAGACAGTAACTGAAGACAGATGATCTCCCTTGTGCCATAATCTCTGCATGGGACTTCATTTGAACTCAGAGTGACAAAGATGATGTAAAGAAATATGTTAATGTGTAAATACAATAGAGTGTCCCTGGGGTTGTAGATATGTATAGTTAAACATTAAGGAGATCAATGCAAAATACTAGTGTGCTCAATCTTAATCCTAGCATTCTTTTCAGGGGTTTCATTAAGTTTTGAAATAGACAGCAAAAACTGCAAAGTAGGTGGCTACCAGTAATAGAAGTTTTATCATTTCTCTAGTGTTGTTAATTTCAAAGAAAAAAGGGAACAGTTTGCTTGACACAGTTTACTTGACACAGACAGCAAATTTTGACTGTTGTCAGCTCCTATTGAAACCCACTTCTTTTATCTCATGTAGAGTTAGATTTGTTATTAGTATGTTACTAAAATAACTGTGTTAATCAGTGCTCTAAGCTATGGCCAGATTAATTGCTATGGTGAGGAGAAAAACATTTTGGCAAGCAAAATTGTTGCTTAAGTCTCCAATTTTATGGCCTGAAACACCATGTGACTCTTGTCTAAAGTTTAAGTGAGATAATTATTTAGACACAGTACTATTGATACTTGTTTTCTTCTCTAAAAAATACTGCCTTGATTGTATGAAATGGCACTTAAACCCATGCACACATTTTTTTAGCCAAGTCAAGTGGTGTTTTTCATAAAAAAAAAAAAACTGTGTTTTTGGCAATATAGTACATTATTTGATGTTACACATTCTCTTTTTTTGTTTTCCCATCTGGGGGCCAAAGTATTTTTCTTGAGACTAGTTTGACCCTAGATTCCCAATTGGCAATTTTGAAATGTGGTTGGCTTGGAGTCCTGATAACAGGTGTTGATTAGATCTACATCAATATTTACTTCAATTCATAAATAAAGTGAATAAGATTCTGCCGGAATCAGAATGTGACATGCATTGGTAGCTAACATGAATGTGTGTGAAAGTAAATTATTTTAAGTTATATACCACAACCAGTCACCCTAGTGTAAGGCTTGGATGACACAATACTGTCAGTTTTTCTGTGCTGATACTGTTACAATCGCCAGCTACAGTTTTAAGGAGCAGTATGCTCCAAGATTTGTTCTATCATGACAAACTTTTAAATAATAGATGAATGTTTAATTTCTGTCTCACAGTTGCATGGATGGCAATCATTATTGCTGTAACATTCAAAATGTCTTCATAATAAGTTTCTCCATGAATAAAAATAATAAAAGTGAGTGTGTTTTTGTTGTAGTTAGAAAAAAAAAGCTTTTATGATCGTGTCCAATAGGAATTTGTCACACTAATGTATACAGAGCAGTAAACTAAATAATGTCAAGCATTTAACCCCTTATGAGATCAGTATGTATATTCTCCATACTGTTCTCTATACATTTCCAGAAGTGTTGACAAAGAGAATTTGTTTACCAATCAAGAGCCTCATTAGCTGGTAATCAGGCTCTGGTTGTTGTTGCATTTTATTTGCATGTGGATGGTCATCTGTTTCAGGCATTTGGAGTTAACTCTGGTACGAGTACAGGGTAAATGTAGGTGGCTAAGTTTTTTTTATTTTTATTTTTTTTTCAATCTATTTATCAAACTGGAAAAATAAAAATAGCCTCATTTAGAACCCCCCTCCCCTCTTACCCAGCACTTAGCACACTTTGCACCCCTGCAATGCATGTCCATGGTCCATTTTAAGTCAATGCAAATGAAGTTGAACCAGGAGATATACATTGAGATTAAGCGATTTATATTTCCGGATTTTATATTCTTGTGTTCTTCAGTTAAACCAATGTTTTGACAAGTGCATTAATGAGTCTTAACATTACCTGCTTGGATACCAAAAAGTAAAACTGTTGGTACAGTGTATCATGCTGTATATTAAGATGAAGAGATAAATTTGGCCGCAATTCAAGTTTTCTAAGCTCCATCTCTCCGCACTTAATTTTACTTGGCAGCGGAAACGTATCTTCCGGGCCAATACGAGCGAGGTCTGGGCTTATTCCACTTCGTTGCTTCTTTGGCGAGCAACATGAAAACGATTGTGCTTTCCTCACGCTGAAACATGGCAGCTAAAGCAGCCTACAGACCTGTAGCCAAGAGAAGTTCATCAGAGCTGATTGACGTTTTAGATAACTCGGAAACCAGTCCTACGGGTAAGTGTTGTGATTTCGCTTTCAAGACCTCTCGATGTCACACGGCGAGATGGAGTAAGATGAGAGAAAATATCGATTTGGATCGCTGTTTGTTCTTCATTTGCTTAGTGTTCACAAGCAGGATTGAGATATCGTTTCACAAGCAGGATTGAGATATCGTTTCACAAGCAGGATTGAGATATCGTTTAAACTATGTCAATATATTTAATCCGTTTCAACCATTTTAAAACAAATTAGGTGCATTTCTGTCCGATAGTATCTTCAATTATAAATTGTTTACCTAAGGTCATTTGCGTTTGCAGTTTCGATGTCTTCTTTCGCCTGTAATGTTTTTCTGATTTTTTGGTTATGAGTTTGAGGGGGGTTATTTGGCAAAACTTGTGATTCTATCTAACGTTTGAAGTCATATAAAAAACACCTGGAGCAACGTAAACACAAAATCGTCGGGTGAACTTCTCAAAGCCGGAAGAGCGCGAACAGCTGAAAATAGTCTACACTGCGCAGGCGCGTCTCTGTCAAGCTCTGAATTTTAGGTGGATTCTGGAGAACGAATGTGTATTTGTTCTGTTTGAGGAAATGCTTTTCTCAACGGAAAGTCTTTATGCTGGCCAGAAGCGTCAGTAATCTGGTGGTCGAAGTATGGCGGAAGGTTTCAAATTGACGGCGTCAGGCTCGAAAAATGATGGAAATAATGGTTGGTATAAAATTCGTTGAAATTGAAAATGGGGAAAATAATTTGAAACATGAAACACCCTTGTCAAACTCGAATATTTTTTCAAACTCGATATTTTTTCCGGGAATTGAATTGCCAATACATGTTTTCATGATTTTGAAAACGCTCAACCTTTGATATATCTCAGTATCATTCGATGGGTTTCTCGTTTGAAGAAAATCTAATATTGTTGGATTCACAGTAAATCATTTGCATTGATTTCAACACTGCCAACGGCCTCCAAACCACTGAGGTGATAAGAAAATCCCGTATTATTCCGAGAGTGATCGATCTAGTCATGTTTGGGTTTGAAGCAGACAGTGATGAATTAATTTTGGATGAAAATAAACTAAGATTTCTTCTCTGTGTTCGAGTCGACGACAGGTGTAACGAACTGAGGCCAAAGAAAAATTCATCAGCTGTAGGCGTTTTGAAAAACAGTAACCCTCCGTTTTAAACGCGGTCTCCATCCTTCTGTCTTTTGCTACATGTATCATTTCGTATTTTGAACGTTTACAGTCATCTAACAATTATGCTGGTACTGCTTAATTTGTAGTACTATACAAGCTCAGACATCTTAAAGTACATAATGTTTTTTAACTCTTTCAAAACAATTTTTCTTTTAAAATAGGGCTTTTAAATAGGCCTTAAATTAGAGCTTTCTTTTAAAATTTTTCTTTTAAAATCTTGTTGGAAAGATATAGTCTCTAAATTGTGTGTGGTACAAAAAAAAAAAAAAAATAGATTTAACCTGTTTTTAGAGTTATCCTAATTTTAGGGGTGGTGGGCCAGTGATCAAAACTGGATGTTACAGTTGTAAGAAAGCCTTTCTGTGTTATTCAATAAGGGTCCACCCTAAGTGACTTAAGCCTTGGTTGGAAACTGAAAAAGGCTCAAGTCATCAGTAGTAAGTTGGTAGCAAAATACCACAGACAAAGGAAGTTACTGTGCTTTCTGTATTTTTGCCTGTTCAGTACATGTACATCATAATCAAATTTATATGCTGCATAGAAACTGGTTGAGTGAAAATGGAACATTTCGAGGAAGGATTTGGCAGGCAACTAAACATTTTAAACAAACAATGCATTTAAATTGATTTAAACTGAACCAATAGAGCCTGACTTGACATGCTTTGGAAAAAAGGAAAAAAAATACATGACTGGTCAGAAATATTTCTAACCTTGTCTTGACCTGTTATACAATTACAGGGGCATTGCATTGCTGTGTAGGTTACTTAGGTAGTCATCTGTTATCCCAATTTGTGATCTGATTTTATTAAAGTTCTCATCATTTTTCTTTTCAAAAATTTGTGCCATGATCACAACAGTTATTCCATGAATTTAAGTTTATTGATCACTATAAATTTATTTGTTCATGAAACCTCATTTTAGATATGGTGGTTGGTCAGGAAATGCAGACACTGTAAACATCTGGTGAAGACATTAACTTTACACAGCTAATTGCAACAAATTGGGGAAAACCAAGGTTTTTATTTTCTTTAAAAAAACCACAGTCTATGGTCAGCCCAGTATCTTGTTCTCCAGCTGTTTGTTTCATTAGCCTTTACTAAACAATGTTTATTCCTTGTTAAACTTCATGGGATCTATTTGACATCAGTTGTTATGGATATTTTGGAGCATTAAAAGAAAATTTAATTTTCTTGAAAATTTGGAAAGACTCTCCACCCAAATTGTTTACAATATTGGTATGTTGTCAAAAGTGTGGCCCAACAAATTGAATGTTTCTTCCATCAATATTTTCTTTCCACAAGGTAGTGAAAGGGATAGAAATGAGCTATACTCTGAAAATGGAGAACCTATTAAGCATTAACATTTACAGAATTTAATTTAATTTGAAAATATAAATTTGTTGTATTTTCAGTTATTTTTTATATTTGTGATGATGGAAATTATAGAATAGGAAAGCAACCCCAGCCTTTTTCTCACCCAAATAATTTCTCATTATTTTTTTTTTCAAGAATGTTATGCATTCTTGAAAATTTTAAATAAATTATGTTTTTGCATTTTTACTTTTGTGAATGTGATTGAATTTTTGTTTAAATGTTGACACTAAGCCCTTTATACTTACCTAGGTGTTGTTAGTATGAGAAAATAATAATTCTCAACAGATTTATGACTTAACATTTTCGTGTTTTCTCTCTGATCCCTGATAATTAAAAAGTTAAGTTTAAAATAAAATTTTGCATGCAAAGTTTATTTATGTCTGGGTAGAGTTCCTTCATGTGAAAATTTGGTTATTCTATCTGCTGTGGTGAGAGATGTTTGAAACTTATCTGTGTTAAATGAAAATTCATCAAAACTGCTTGCATTAATTAGTCACTGAAAAGGAATTTAATTTTATGACTATATGTAATTGTGAAGCTTAGTGAGAATTTTTTTATTTACTATGTGAATAAACAAAAATATATTTCTTGCATGCAGCATGTGTTTTTACCATAATCCTTAGATGATGTGATAAAACAAATCAAACCAAAGTGAAACTCTTTTGATTGAACTTTTTTTTTTTTAAGGTTAGCTGTTAGAAGCATTTTCTATAAGGGTTATTACCCCTTTTTCAATCTTGATTTTCCAAAGAAAATGCAGTTTTTATTACAACATCATGATTAACCCTATAAATGGAGACAATAGTATGAAATTATGTATATATCACATATGCTGTTCTCAGATAATTTTATGGGCAATGTATTCTGTTAAATAACTAAGGGTTATGCAGGGGTCAGTCAATGAGAGCCAGTAACCCAGTGAAATCTACAGTAGATATAATTTATGTCAAGGGCAGTCTCCAACTACTTCCTCTGAAATTAATTAATACTTTAAAGTCAAAAATCAAACTTCTATTAGCTGCCTACTTTGCGGCTTTTGCCTTTTACTTCAAAACTTATTGAAACTTCTGTAATGCTAAATAATGTGTGCCACTTTGCACTTAATTTCAAAACAACTCAACAAATTGGATGGTCATACAGAATTGTTGGTCAGTACCACTTATAAGTATTTAATTAGAATCATGATTGTTCAGATTGTTTCCCATTAATTTATTTAATATATTTTTGTCCATTTTTACAGATAATTATGGATCTCTTAAGAATGATGTTACTGATGGTTCAGAAGCAGAGCGAGTCATCATCATTAATAAACCACAAACTCAGCAGTTTTGCAACAATAAGATTAGGTTTGTTTTATAAATGTATACAATTTTATAGTTAATGATACTGTTTTTTATCATGCAAATGTTCATTGTGTGAAATTAAAGTGTGAATTAAACAGAACTTACAAAAGAGTGTAAAAGTTGAATTATATCAGAGTTATAATTTATTTATAATAATCATGTTTTTTATTTTCAGTTATGCACTGATTTATTCATTAAAGTTTTATTATTTTGCTACTTATAACAAAGATCTTGTTTGTTTCAAGCCAAAAATACTTGTAGCCATGCTATTGGGAAATCCTGAAAGTGCAACCATTTCAGACTCAGCATTTCTTTCTTAATGGCAACCTTAAATCATAAAATGCCCACCGGAAAAAAAGTTTATTATGGTTATATCAACTTAATTGAAATTGTAAATTGGCCTCTGTAAAGAGTTAAAAAGCTGAAGTTCCAAGCATTAGCTCTTCACCAGAGCAAAGGGTGCTCTGACAAAGGGCTAACACTCAAAATGTCAGCTTTTTAACTCTTTCCAGTGGCCAATTTCCAATTTCAACTTAGTTGATATGACCAAATTACCTAATTGTTACCCCCACTGATGCAGCACCAGTTTCTTTGGAAACTTACCCCCCTTTAGAAAAAAGTTTTGTTGCCAATAAAGAAAAGAAAAGAAAAGAAAAGAAAAGGACAGCTTGTGCTATTATTATTATAGTACATGATATATTATTATGTACAGCACTTTTTAAAATTTAGAAAGCAAGACATAAATCAAGGTCAGCAAAGGAGAAAGAGAGGAAATTTTATAAAAGACATTGATAAAACATCATTGTATTATATTTGATGAAAATATTCATCTTGTTTGAAATTTTGACTGTGATTACTAAGTTGTGAAAACTCAATTAGCTTTCTTCATGTCTTCCATGTTCATGTCACAGTAAACAGTTATATATTTATATATTCAATGACCATGGACAATGCATGTAACTATTTACTATCTTTCATAATTATTTTTTTAACAACAGTATTTGTTTTCATCTTACAGCACTGCCAAGTACAACTTCTTGACATTTCTTCCCAAGTTTCTTCTTGAACAGTTTAGTCGATATTCCAATGTTTTCTTCTTGTTTATTGCACTTCTGCAGGTGAGTGAAAATACAAAATGTACTCATGTGTACAATCTGTGGACTTAATGCAATGGGTAATCAATGAAACTCAGGGGGCCAAAAAATGTAGATTGGGTCTGTAAAAAATTTTTAATGATTGTTGACATAATTATCGCAACTGAGGTGACTTTCACTCGAGGCTGAAAGGCTGTAAAAATCTTTATTCTGTAGTCTATGTAGTCTGTCTCATTATCATTCTGGAAATAAATGCAAACTTATAAAATCTGTTTAATAATTACAAAGTGAAGATTTATTTCCAGGAATGAAAATTATAACATAACCAAAGTAAAGCGTGCGCTCTGATTGGTCAATTTAGCGTACCCCATTTGCTCATGGGTGTATGCTGCTGACGTGAGCAAATGCAAAGACTATATTTCTGGGCGCGCTTGTTTTTTCTGGTTGCATAAGATTTGTTAAATAAAAGGGAACTCTTTAGCTACAATGTATCAATGTTATGTTATAAAACAAATGGTAAACACCACACCGTACACTATTGAGTTATGGATGCACTTGGGAGGTTTGCTAAGCACTCAAGAAGCTAGAGTCACTCTCGGCTATCACCTCATGCGACTCTTACGCTTCTTTCGTGCTTAGCAACCTCCCACATGCATCCATAACTCAATAGTGTACGCTGTGGTGTTTACCATTAATTTTGTTAATGATAGTCTACATGGTAAGGATACAGGCTGTTTTCCTAATTATAAGGAAGTATGCACCTTCCCTGGGTCAAGTGAAAGAACTGATGTAGAACTATCAGACCAAGAGAAGTTGAATGAATGAATGAATGAATAACTTTATTAACATGTGAATTGTTCTAGTTTTTACAAGTAAAAACTAATTGGGGACACCTATTAGTAAGTTGTTTTCTTCTCAAAAGAAATTAATTGATTTTGATATTAAATGGTTTCAGCAAATAGATGATGTGTCTCCAACTGGGCGTTACACCACAGCTGTTCCTCTTCTCTTTGTTCTTTCTTGCTCTGCTGTGAAAGAGATCATAGAAGATTATGTAAGTTGCTTTTTGCTACAGAAATTGAATGGAAATTTTAGTTTAATTTATGTGCTTTTTTAATTAATGTGACCAATTATTCTTTTTTCGCCTCAGAAAAGACATCAAGCAGATGACCAAGTTAACAATCGTAGGGTTAAAGGTAACTAACTACTTCATATTGAGGAAAGGTGTTATTAAATTTGTCATGAGCATGTGGCATTAGGAATGGAACTTCATACCTACTGTAACAGCAACAGTTATTTTATGCGCTGATGCTAGAAATATGCAAGACACCTATCACATGTGAATCCCAGATTGGGAACAATGAGTACTCTGTAGCCCAGACTTTGAGAGTAGATGAGTAAAAACTAAGGATCAATGGCTGGATTCTTCCTGGAGTACTCCTGATTTTTTTCTCCATACTTTTTGGAAGTTAATTTAAAACATCTTCCTTCTTTGAAGGCCTTGCTCAAAATTTTCCACCTTTTTTATTATGTACTAAATGTTTTTTTTTTCTTCTAGTTCTTAGAGATAATACCATGCAGTCCTTACTATGGACAGAGGTGAGAGTTACACTGTGGACACTGTAAATTACTGTAAAGTTAGTATCAGTGTATCCCCCTACTTTTTGTTAACAGTGAGAGCATCTTGTTCTTTTTTTTTCAGGTCCAAGTTGGGGATATAGTGAAGGTGGTCAATGGACAATTTTTTCCAGCAGACCTTATTCTAGTTTCATCAAGGTGAACTTTTTTTTAGTTGGTTAACTGAGGGGACCTATCAGGTTTTATATGCAGTCATTTGATGTTAACTTTTGTCAGTCAGTCATTCACTGAGTCAGTCAATCTGTCAGTCAATCTGTCAGCACTTAGTCAGTCAGTCACCCAGTCAGTCAATCAATTAGTCATTTAGACAGTCAGTTAGTCAGTCAGTCAGCAGGCAGTCAGTCAGTGAGCCAGCTGGCTCTTTGATGCTTGATGCGTTAATTCTCATATGGAAACGAATTGATGCATCACAACAAGTAATTTTTGATACATTGTTTTGATTCCTTTGCTTTGCAGTGAGCCAATGGGAATGTGTTATATAGAAACATCAAATCTTGATGGAGAAACTAACTTAAAGATCAGACAGGTTAGCACACTATCCCATTGTCAATTGTTAAAAATTAGGAAATATGATTTAAAATCAGAGAAAATGAGAATTATTCAATAGATTATTGATCTATGAATTCTAAAAAGGAATTATGCTTGAAGTTTTGTTTGTAGCAGATCTGCTTATTACAGATATTTTAATCTTGAAAATTTTATTGGTGTACATGAAACATATTCTTACTGATAGCAAGCTTCCTTAAATTTTTGTACAGGCCTTACCTCTGACTGCAAAAATGACGTCACTTCTAGAGATTCGTTGTATGCAAGTAAGTGGCTTTTTGTTGCAAATGTCAGTTTGTCTGATTTTACTTTTGAGAAATAAATGAATGTGTTTAATGGGAATAAATTTGTTGTTTTTAATCATAGGGAAGAGTGGAGTGTGAAGGGCCAAATAATCGACTTTATGACTTTGTTGGAAATATCACTCTTCAAACTCAAAAGTAAAATACTGTTGATTGTAGTTGTTATTATATTTCGCCCAATTATAATCTTATACTAGTAGATGTTGTATATTGCCTATCGCGAACATGAAGAAAGGCTGCCTCATTTTGTACTAGGTTTTTAGGCACTAATTTTTGCAAATCAGATCAAAAGGAGGGATTTTTTTGCACGACTTAATTTCATGGTTTGGGGTAAAAATAATCTTCAAAGGGAAGTGGTAATGAATACATACTTACATAGTTTACATACTATATTTGATAAGTAGGTTGCAAAAAAAGGCAGCCAGAGGCTGATTTGGACCAACTATTACAAATCATTACAAAATACAAACATTGATAATAAAAATATACAAATATGATATTAAATTAAATTAAATATTATCTTAACTGAAATTATAATATTCTGCCAATCAAAAGTAAATAAAATCTTTGGATTTCTTGGTAATAACGACAGCTTCTTTATTAAGAAGTTGGCATGTAATTTTCTAATTGTTTTTGAAACTGGCTAGGTTCTCTGGAACTTTAGCAATTTTGTTGACAAAGTTCCAAATAACAAGTCCTCTATACCATAAGGTGTTCCTGCCCACTTAAGTCACTGTTGTTTTTCTAGATCAGTACCAGTTGGTCCAGAGCAAATCTTGCTTAGGGGAGCTAATCTAAGGAACACACAGTGGATATTTGGTGAGTTCTGAACAACTGATATACACCTAAATGCAGAGACATTGTTGAAGAAAAAAGCAAAAAGCTAAAAGAAAAAAAATAAGCAAGGATTCATTTGTGCAGGTGTTACCTCATGATCTTATGATCCTATCTCTGAAAAAAATGCAATGCAAATTTATTTCAATATTTTATTTGATTCTATAGAATTATTTTCATTTAAATATTATGTTTCTTTAAATGGTAAAACCACTTGAATGGTAAAACCAAATCTCAGCAGATATTGTGAGGAAACAACTTAAGGATCTAAGCCTAAAAATACAAACCACCATCCAGCCAGTGTTTGTGAGCCGAAAAATTGAACAAGAATTAAATGTGAAGGAACCAAAGCCACCAATTGTAAATCAGCAGTGTGTTGTTTACGGTTTTTAATGTGACCTGCGTGATGCGGATTATGTTGGTTACACATGCGGACATTTACATAATCGTGTAAAAGGACATAAACAATAATCCTCCGCCATTGTCAAACACTATAAGAACATGCACGGGACAATGCCCCAGGGCCTGGTAAAGCGTTTCGAAGTGCTTAAGAAATGCAGAAATAAATTTGACTACATAGTGTACGAAATGCTTTTTATAAGAGTGTTAAAGCCAAATCTCAACATGCAATGAGACTCCATTCATGCAAAAGTATTTTTATATTTTCTTATGATCTTCGCACCCTCTTAAGTTAATTCTTCGCGCCAAAAACGCTTAACTACTATATGTTGCAATTTGCATGATCTTTTATATTTTCCTTGATAATGGTGTCATGACTATTCCAAAACGTCGTATTTTTCGTTTGCTTTACAGTTTTATGTTGTGTTTATTAAATGTTATTATTATAATTGCTATTATTATCATTATTGTTATTATTGATATTATTATTATATTAACCCATTCTTTGTGATCTTGTTAGGTCTTGTTGTCTATACTGGACATGACTCCAAACTTATGCAGGTGATGTCCTAAAACTTTACATCAGTGTTGACTAAGGAGATTAATATCTGTCATTATTGAGGGGGAACTGGACTGGAAAATGATAATTTTTTGATAGCTTTATTGCCAAGCAACAAAGGGGAACCTAACTAAAGGAAATAAATTTGCAATTCTTGTTACAGGTGATTTGATCATATGTGAGATGTAGACTATGAGATGATAATTCCATGATCCAGTTTCTCAGAATCATGTTTCTTTGTGCTCCAAGGCAACATTGATGAAATGTTTTTTTTTTTTTTCCAAGGTGCATTCTTGAGTTTTGACAATTGTTTCCTTATTTTTTCAGAACTCCACAGCTGCTCCAATCAAGAGGTCAAATGTAGATCACACTACCAACATTCAGATCTTGTTCTTGTTTGGGCTGCTTCTTGTCTTGGCTCTCTGTAGCACCATTGGGTTCAAGATTTGGACAGGTCGGTGCAGTTGTGATGTTATTGTTGTCATTAGCTTCTTTGTCAGTTGGTGGTGAAGCAGACTCGGGTCACCCCCTGGTCTCACTGTTAAGTCAAATGTTCATCCCACACTGATTGTGTACTTGTTTCGTTTAGGACTTGCACACTTGTTAGTAAAATTCGATGTACTTCCACCTTTTTTATTTTCAGATAACCATCGGGACACTGATTGGTACCTTGGATATTCTGGTAATTAAAGCATGTTACAATCCATCAACTATTTTTGCTCGCGCGTTATTGGTCTTAACCCATTACGTGACCAATCCTTAATTAAAATTGTGGAGAAAATATAAACAACATTATCCGTTTGGTGCCAAATTATGCACGGAAATTTCTCCGCGGACACTATTTTATCCGAGATGAGACAGTTTTGCTATAGCGAAGCTCGAGGAAAATTGTAAGCTTCGGGGAACAGATAATTACCAAGGAAAAATATACCAACTTGTTTTGTTTCAAGTATTTTGCAACACTCGAGAAATATTTTTGCCAGCAGCTTACTGTTAAATGTACCAAATGTTTATTTTTCAGTGTTCTCTGGTACGACTTTGTGTTCCCTTTTGCGACTTTTTTTTTTCTAGGTAAAAAAGCCCAGAATCTTGGCATGTCGTTCCTGACGTTTATCATATTGTTTAATAACTTGATCCCCATCAGCTTGACAGTCACACTTGAGGTACAGTCCAATGATAAAGGCATCGTTACATATTACTGAGTGTTACTCTGCGGCACCGTCACAAATTTTTCTATAATTTATTATTTTTTTTGCTTAAATAGGTTGTGAAGTTCATTCAAGCCATCTTCATAAACCTAGTATGTACTTTTAGTTTTATTCAGTGTTTCTTGTTTTAAAAAAATACAAGGCTGTCAGTTGCATTATATAATTATTTATTCTTGTTGTGAGGATTCGTACAGATGTACTATCCAAACGGCCACTAAGCGAAAAACTGAAAAAAAAAAAAAAAAAAAAAAAGGGGGTCTCGCTTATTTCCTTCTCTGGAGATTTCCAATTTGGCTGTTCATTTATTTCGTCACAGGATATTGACATGTACTATGACAAGACAGATACACCAGCAATGGCGAGAACTTCAAATCTGAATGAAGAGTTAGGGCAGGTTGGTCTTTATTGACTTGTCGATTGACAATTATATAAAAAGCTGAGTTATACACGCATTTTGATTGGTTCTTGTAAATAATCTATGGGATGATAGACGTAAAGACGACGTCACCTTCACAAACGTTTGCTTCTNCACGTAGAAATGGCAAAGCGCAACTGGCAAACGTGAAAAAATGGCGAGAAAAACAAGGTCAAGCGGTCACTCTTGCCTTTGACTTTTCATGTAAACGCGTTGCTATTTCTCTCTAATAGACCACAGGAGGCAAGAATATGAGTGATACACGAGGCGCATTGTTCTCATCAATTTTTGACGTCGTCTGTGCGATATGTTTCTGAACAGACGCGCGGCAACATGGAAGCTATTTCTTAATGTGATAATGGTTCATAACAACCGCAGTGCAAGAAAGATGATAGTTCAGAGCTTCGCCTCTTAAAGAAGATTTTGCCTACATCCCCTGCTATCGGTTTGTTAGACTTTGAAATGCTCCCATGATTGGCGATCCTCACGACCCATCATGAAGGCCGTGCGTTGTCACAGAGGCACCCACCTCAATAAGTCAGCAGTAAGTCGTTACTTCAGTTTGAGACACTGCTTCTTTTTACACCACAGGTGAAGTACATTTTTTCAGACAAGACAGGCACGCTAACAAGGAATGTGATGGAGTTCAAAAAATGTTCCATCGGAGGAATCAGTTACAGGTAAAAATGATAAGCTCTAAGCCATTCATTTTGTTGAATATCAACAATGAAACTTGCGATGGCAAAATAAGTTTGCCCGAGATCGACATTAAAAAAATGACATATTCATTCGCTTAACAGAAAGGGATTCTTAACCGTAACAACGAAATCGAGGGCAAAATGCGTCAAATTCATCTGCAAACGATGGATTCGGGGCATTTTCGGGGGAGAAACTGGAAGGGGAATGGAAACTCCAATCTCAGTTACCAAAATCGGTGTGTTTTTGTCACATCGTGATGTTCGTTGTTTTTTTTCATTTCAGTGGTGGAAGAGATACGTTCATGGATCCAGCTCTGTTGGATAATCTTAGAGAGCACCATGTAAGTGCATTGTACAGCTGCATGCATAGTTTATTATCATATTACTGATATACGATTTAACCCAGCTAACTCGAACACCCAAAGGAAACAAAAAACGGTTCGAGTTAGCGGGGGCTCGAGTCAGCTGATAGTAAATGATTGAGTTCGAATTCGAGCGGGGTTTTACTGTTGTAGTTTCCAATTCATGGTCGAAAGTAATCCGGGATTTTTACTTAACCTCGCGCTGTGATTGGTGTAGAGCACTCAACCAATCATCTACTAGACCAGAGCCAATCACGATTTTGTCACACTCGGTCCTAAGCGATTCATTCAGTCTTCCTGTTTTAACGTCAAGTTCTCATTAACTCCTGTGAAACTAATCGAAGTTTTTGTTAAGTTTGGTTTTAGTTTTACGAATGTGGAACCAAATACTTCATTTTTTGTCATGGCAACTTAGTAGGCGTCGAAAAAGCAGATTTCTCATAGAACATAACCTTTAGCTCTACTGACAATTTTGAAAATATAATGTAAACCTTATTCCATAGCCGACAGCTTCTGTGATTCGAGAGTTTTTGACGTTACTAGCCGTATGCCATACAGTTGTTCCAGAAAGAGAACCAGGAAATCCTGATAAGATTGTTTATCAAGCCGCCTCTCCAGGTATAGTGAATTCTGCATCACACTGAGTGTCTATACGTAATGCGTGCCATCTCCAGGTATAGTGAATTCTGCATCACACTGAGTGTCTCTACGTAATGCGTGCCATCATTTTATTTCAACGTGGAGTTGCATTACACTTTTTGACAGAGTTTTAAGCCAAATAAATGGCATTTTCAGTGCATGCGTCGATTCGTTTATGGAACATTTTGTTGGTTTGTCGGAGACTGGGCCCGAGCTTTAGTTGAGTTTGACACTGCATGTGAGTGCAGTGATGCATGTCGCTTGAGAGTTTTTTTTTTTTTGTTTGTTTGTTTTTCATAGAGAAGGTGTCATTGAAAAAAAATGAAACAGTTGCGTTTATCGAAAGAAAACCTGGAATTGTGAATTCAGGTTAATAAACTTCACTGCCACGGAGGCATTCCCGAAAGGTTGTTGGACTTAAGTTATTTTGGTGGCAACAGTCGGAGGAGTGTAGCTGATGATCAAGATCAAATAGAATACGCTGATGAAGGAAGGACAGTCAGCTGATTAAAGATTCTTCTTTAGACGTACTAGAGTTGACCAGAGCTAACTTATTTGGTCTGGATTTAAAATTAAGTTCTTTGTATTTTCAGATGAAGGTGCTCTGGTGAAAGGAGCTAAAAAGCTAGGATTCTCGTTCAACGTCAGGACTCCTACATCAGTGATTATCAACGCGGTACGTAAAGCACTAAAGCTGATTACCATGATACTCTCAGAGAAGAGCATTTTTGGAAAATTCTAGAACGGATTCACGGCATAGCTCCTGCAACTCATTCCTCGTTTTAGACCACAATGAATCATTTCAGACTTGAGGAATTTAGAAAAAAAAAAAAAAAATCGCGTCGCTTAAGTGTACTTCCCAGTCCTTGCTGCGGTTCGAAAGAGTTTACCAAACCTCACCCGATTTCCTACCCGAAGGGTTAAAGGCCAAACTCGCATATACCGTCGGTATTATGCTACATGACATTGACAATAGAGTACTCTTCTCCCACTCCCTGGGGTGAGGTACATGTAGTACCACCCAGTGTCAGTAAGCCCTTATTGCAATAGATTTAGTGTTTGTTCGCTCTGCTTTAGTCCTGGGTGTTTTGCATTCGTTTATAATTGAAACGTATTTTCTTACTTGATACAGATGGGCCAGGAAGAGGTGTACGAGGTTCTAAATGTTTTAGAATTTAACAGGTAAGTCGGTAAGGGAGATTGAAATATGCGCTTAGGCCATTGCCAGTATTAAAATGAGTTATAATGGATCGTTGGTCAGTTCTTGTTGCTCGATTAAAGTTTTAGAAGACGAAAATGGAATGAAGTACGGCTGTCTAAGGAAATCTTGCAAATTCAATGTTAAAGATTATTTTTCTGAGCCTAGCCGCGATAATTAACAAGTTGGCTGGGCTGGAGAAAGAAATCTGGGACTTAACCCTGTCACTCCCAAGATCTCAAAAGAAATTCTCCTAACTGCCCGCTATACAATTCTTAAGTTGTTAGTTCAGAGAATTTGGTATTGGATAAACGAAGAGTTCCTTGATTGATATGTCTCTTTATTCTGTCTGCTTGATATTGTATCGGCATTGTAAGGAGAAACTCTGTCTTGGTCACTAGTGGCAGTTAAAGGGTTCAACAAACTTATTCTACTCGTTATCTAAATTATTTAACTAAGCTTGCAAGCTTATTTTTGTCTTTCTTTCAGATTTCAGCAGATTTTTTCGGTTAGGTAAATTATGTATTAAATTTCTCCTTCAGCACTCGTAAGAGGATGTCAGTGATTGTTCGAACCCCAGAAGGAAAAATCAAGTTGTACTGCAAGGGAGCTGTAAGTTTTTTTCGGAAAATTCTTCCAGCTTTGATTTTATATAAGCAGTTTAATTTCAATTGATATTTCCAAAATGACGTTCATTTGGCTTTGCTTTGAATTTCACCCACTTAATTGTGGTAGAGACAACTTAGTTTTGTCTTACTTCCTAAGGATACAGTAATCTTCGAGAGGATGCAAGAGAAACAGATGTACATGGATAGCACGGTAGAGCACTTGGAGGACTTCGCTAAAGAGGGTACGTTGACGAAAACCTGCGCCGTGCAGGTGGTTAAATCCATTACGAAGGAAGAAACAAGTCGTGTAGGCTCGTTAAAAGCTAAACTATCTATTGTATTCTTGCTTGGTTTAATTGATATGGTGTGGAGATTTCTTTCGCGATGGACAGCTTTTTAGTGTCCGTTCCAAGCTATTTCGCTCGAATTGCGTATTTTCTTCGTTACTACAGCTAAACTTACCAGAGATTATGGCTCCAGTGACTTGTAGCTCCCCTGAGACATCTCGATGCAGGAAGCCTTAATAGGTACGCCTCGTGCTCCAAATATGGAATAAGCGTATTGCCTCAAAGCGCTTGCGCCTTGAAGACTTACAAAAACGATACCATGGTAACGACTCAATGTGTGTGATTTTCCATCAGGCTTACGCACTCTTTGCATTGCAATGGCCGAGCTGGAACCAGAAGAGTTTCAGCGCTGGAGTGACATCTACTACAAAGCTTCTACAAGCTTAGAAAACAGGGAGAAGAACGTAGATGACGCCGCTGAACTTATTGAGAAGGTTGACTGTTTTTTTCTTGTTTCGTTTTCAGGAAATTGGTAAAATGAAACTGAACTTTTAGTGTAATACAAAAAATCCGAGCCCCAGATGGGACTTGAACCCACGACCCTCCGTGATCTAGTCGGATGCTCTAACCACTGAGCTACTGGAGAACTTGCTTGCCCAAATAATTCTAAACTGATGACGTAGTGATACTATGATCTTTCTGGGGTTTCTGATTTGTTGATATCTCAAATGAATCAGCAGCCAATCAGAGGCCCATCTCTGTACAGCTTGCGATACTAAGACGTTTTTTCAGGTCAAATTGCTTGTGAGAAATTCTCTTTTACTATTGCTGGGTTCGAATTTGTGTTCTGTTTTTTTTATTCCTTGTTTGTTTTCAAACAGAATTTGTTCCTGTTGGGCGCCACGGCCATTGAGGATAAGCTGCAAGAAGTAAGTTCAAATATAGTGGCTTGTCGCAAGATATGACTGACTCTGATATCCAGCGGTTTCAGTAAAAGCGGATTACCGCTGATCTACCATCGCCTGCAAGACTTCTAACCGCCATCTGTTTTGCTTGCCTACTGAGTCCCGAGGGGAGAGGGGAGAGGGACCTTAAGGCTCCGGCTTTTCCGGACACAACTGCTTATAACACCTTTGGCAGCCGCTTACAGAAAAAGTGACTGAACCCCTGTATATGGTCTTATTTTTGGAAAATATACGACACGTTTAACTGATGTCCTAATTGATTGAAATTAGAAGTGATTTCGTTTAGTCTGTTTCATAATCAAATAAAATATAAGCGGCACTTGTTTTCTCCCAAATATGGCTTTATTCCACGTGCCTGTATTGCAACGTTCTGCTTTTATTCGAATGAGTAAGGAGCTGTGAGTGGGAGTTAATTGTAAAATCAAGTGAATAAATCGTGGTAAATTGTTTTCGATATTCTTGAGTCGGGGAAAGTTATTTTCAAAACGGCCGCTGTAATACTAGATCGAAAGTGATAAGTCTTTCAAAATCAAAATCCACTGTTACCGTTGGTCGTAAAGGTCGGAAAGTACAGAATCCTCGAAACTGGCGTCCCCCGAAAGATGCTGCATTCTAGATAATTCCCGCCGATGTACATCATGTTGATATAAAATCTATCAGAATTGCTCAAATCCACGGATTTTAGAGAGTAAGCTCAACGAACCGTAGTTAATAGAGCGAAGTATGAATGAACAGTGCTGTTGACTTTAAACGTTTCTTATTCCTACTCTGTGTCTTCTTTCACATTTGTGTCTTGTTTTCGAAGATTAATTGAAAGCAACAACCACTTGCTTCCAGGGACTAGGACACTAACTCTTGGATCGATATCACAGAAGCTGGCGAGAAATTTTCCGAAGAAAGAAAGTTGTGCTCGTTTTAACCTTGTTTTTGCTGGTTTTCAGGGTGTCCCAGAAAGTATTGCTGCACTTGCTGATGCCGACATCAAGATCTGGGTTCTCACCGGTGACAAGCAGGAAACTGCCATCAACATTGGTAAGTTTCATCATCAGACATGGTATTTTCTTTTGAACTTTTCCCAGATTAGGTTAAAAAAAGAATAGTCAAGTATTTTCTTCAAATCCACGGCCATCGTCATCAGGCTCTTGAAGGAGCTATGAGTGTACGAGAGTTGTTTTCAAGTAAAAATGCAGCGAAGGGTCATAGCTACATAATAAATGATATTTATTTATTTATTCATTTATTTATGGTTTCTTTTTTTTTTCTTTTTTTTTTTTCAGGTTACGCTTGCCGTTTGCTGACTCCGGAGATGAAGCTGTTAATCTGTGGCGAGGAGACACTGGATGTAAGTAGTTTTTGATATACCGACGAATTATGCTGGTGTTTTTTGATGCGGAGTTATTTATTCTGCGTAATTGTATTTTTGTGAATCGATGGCTGACTGCAAATTCTGTTACTATCATTTTAAAAACCCTGCAAAATTTCAGGTTGAACGGTATTTGACGAGATAGTAAAGACCCGTTGTTTTACGTACTATTTTGTATGGGTAACAAGTCCGATGTGAGTTGGGTTGTAGACATGAGTAGGTACACTTATCAAGGAATCGCCTTCAACAGATAGCTCTAGCCACAACCTGATGGGAGTGGGAAGGGGGAAGGGGGAAGGGGG